AACAAATATAGTGTTTTCGTTCCAGGAACTATTTGCGCTCGTGTAGGGATACTATTTAGCATCCTCTGACATTTCGCTCAACATAATTTATTTGTATTTTTGCCAAAACTGCATCCGACAGGGTAATTCAAAATAGTCATCTTCAGAGCACATTTCTGGCTCAATGAGAACGTGATGTTTGCATACTGCAAGTACTGAAGTATGCTCACAGTAGGTATATATATGCATCTAGCTACGAGGTCTATCCACTTTAAAGAGCACAGCGTAACGTTTTCGCTACACAAAGTACCGATTTCGGAGAGCAAAATGATACTAACCGACAAATAAAGACAAATTATGTGTTCATGTACTATAACAGTCATATCCTTATAATTTTACTTATATGCAGTTCAGCAGCTCAAACACTGACACCTGTCTGTATATCTGCTCGTATACTGCTGTTGCACTCCACATTTCACACTTGACCCAAACATGGCCATATTTCACCAGCACTCGCTAGACCTTATCACACACAATCTCCGCATACATGCGCCACCAACTCCTCCACAGCTGCCTCAGTTTCGAGGCGACTGCTGCGATGCTACGGAAAGGGCAGGAGAGACTAGGGACACCAGGTTTTTGAAAGGTCTGTATTTTATAGCTAAAACATCTACCCCGCACAACCAATGTTGCCATAGTGAGTTGATAATATTACAGCCAAGAACAACGAAACATGAGTTTCGTTAGCAGCCTTATCGTGAGTAATTATACATTTTACGCTGGAGCCTCTTGAAATTTTTAACTTAGCTCACGGACCCCTAGTACTACCTTTGCAGACCCCCAGGCTTCCGGGGACCCCAGGTTGGGAACCACTGGACTAGAGAGGCCGCACCTGTTCTGCGAGCGATGGCGGTGAGCTTCTGCATGGCTTCGCTCTGCTGCAGGATCTCCATCTTGTTGGGGATGCTGCTGCCGGGGCACAGCGTGCTGTACTTGTTCTTCGACGGCAGCGTGCTGCACAGGTTCGACCCGTTTCTCAGCTCCCTGCTCTTGTGTCTCGACACCTGCGCGGCAACAACGACGACGGCGCGATTAAACTACAACAATGGGACGGAGTTTCACCACTTTATTGTGAAGTTTAAGTGCAAGAGGGAGGGTGAGGATTTGCTCCTGCTCTTGTGTCTCGACAACTGCGCGCGCCGTGGTGGCGACGGTAATGACGGCGATATTAAACGACAACAATATGTGCTTATATCGTGCCGTGGTGGCGACAATGACGACGATGCGATTAAATGACAACGATGAGATGGAGTTTCCCCACTTTCTTGTAAAGTTTCAGTGCAAGAGGAAGGGTAAGGATATAATACTTGAGAGATTAAACAACGATAGAGATTAAACAATGGCAAGATGGAACGATTAGAAAAAATGATAGGGAGATTAAACGTTGATGTTGCACCGAGGAGTTCAAACGTAAATAATGGAGTGGCGTAGTAAATGATTTCACACCGATGAAAACAGGCCCTACGTAACAGCCCTGCCACTACACTGAACAGCTAGAAGAGCCACTACCTATGTATCACTTATTCATCCATCTCTCTACTCTACCACCAGCTAGCATCATGAAATGCAAACATCACGTCGCAACATCGACGCGAAGGAGATACGGAGAACACCGACTCTGCAACAACGTCCCCAAATAACCAAAACAAAAAATAAATAAATTTAATAAAATTTAATAAAATTAAAATAAATAAATAAAATTATCGTGGCGAACATCCCTGACGCCATCTACAACAACGTTTGGCGCCACCTACCCGAGTGAGAGTCTGATAGTTTTCCTGAGGTTCGCGCCCGAAGAAAGGCACGTTGTAGCGGATGAGAATCTCGGAGATCTCCTGCATGAAGTCGAGGCGATCGGGGAACAGTGGCAGATCCTCGGGTAACTCCAGTACATGGTTGTCTATGTCCACGAAGCACAGGTTCGCCTGAATAAACAAGAGAACGTGTGAGAATAGACGACACAAACAAGAGAACGTGTGAGAATCTACGACGCGCATGGTCGTCAATATCCACTAAGCATAGGTTCTCCTGAACAAACACGAGTATGTGTGAGCTGCCTGTGAAAGCAAGAGAATGCATAGGTTGTGTAAAGAAACAAGAGAACATCAAATCACCCGAAGAAACAAGATAACACGTGAAAATCAATGACGTGCACGATCGTCTACGTTTTCTACGTTTCTGACGCACAACCTCACCAAACAAAAACAAGAGAACACGTGAAAACAGGTGCAGAATAAGCACAGATTCAAGAATCACTGTAGAGGGCGCTGAAAGAGATCAGTGCGGCGGAACAGCGTTACCTCTCCCGGCAGCTGCAGCGTGCCGCGGTCCTGGCTGGCGAGGTGCAGACCCATGATGTAGGGTACCGGCGCGTCTAGGAAGTGCAGCAGGGATGCGGGCAGTATCGGCACGTAGACGTGTTGCCACGTGTACGGAAACAGCAGCATCGTGATGCCCTCCGCCACCAGACCCAACTTGTGATAATCTGTATAACGTGAAATGCAACAGGCACAGCTCGTGATAAACAGGAATGCAAAGGCAGCAACGAATACCAGTTACAACTTGTGATAATCTGTAACGTGAAATGCCGCGGTAAATTACCAGAAAATAAACAGGAATGCGAAAGCTGTAAAGAATACCAGGTACAACTTGTGATAAACTGTTACATGGTGTGGTGCTGTAAATTACCAGGTACAACTTGTGATAAACGGGAATGCAAAGGCAGCAATGACTACCAGGTACAACTAGTGATAATCTGGAATGGGAAGGACCCAACTTGAAATAATTGGGGATATATGCAGTATATACCAGGCCCAACTTGTGATCATCTGTGAAATGTGTAAAATGCAGCAGTAAATTACCAGGCACAGCTCGTGATAAACAGGAATGCAAAGGCAGCAATAAATACCAGGTACAACTAGTGATAATCTAGAATGGTAAGGCAGCAAAGAGTACCAGGTGCAACTATTGATAATCTGGAATGGGAAGGACGAAATCACTATACGCCAAAACGTGTTACAATATGAAATGTGAAGGAAAAGGTAAACAAAAGGATCAACAATCGGGGATATAAGCAGTATACACCAGGTCCAACTTGTGATAATCTGTAATTTGAATGACCTGACTCAACTTGTGATAATTAAAGATGTAACAGAAGTAGTAAACACTGGCCCCAGCTTTTGATAAAATTTATGGATGTGAAGAAAGTAATGATTACCAGTCACAACCTTTTTATAATCAGAATCTTAAAGAAAGCATTGAATACAAGTAGCTCCACTACATCTGGTAATTTGGATAGGGAAGGCTAACACCACGCACAACTTTCCACACTTTGTCATCCAGTATGGATGACACGCAGTATGATTAACTAACTTATAATTAACTTAACTAATATAAAATTATATAATTAATTATAATTAATAAATTAATATATTTATTAAATAACTAATATAATTAGTTAATATAACATCAAAACAACTCAAAGCTGTGATGTAGTATGATTGCATCAACTACAACTAAACGGCCCACAAGTAATGTCACGTCAACTAATGTCACGTTAACTTACATCAAGTCAACTAATGTCACGTCAACTAATGTCACATCAACTTACGTCAAGTCAACTAACGTCACGTCAACTAACGTCACGTCAACTAATGTCACATCAACTAACGTCACGTCAACTAACGCGTCTTCGCACGCATCGTACACACCTTGTGAGAACAGCAACACCTGATGTTCTAGAAGAACACTTGTGAACAGAAGAATGATGTTCTCGACACCCAACAGAGTGAACATCTCCCTTAATGAGTAGTCGAACAACGGCAATTCGGTCAGTCCTGCCAACAAGAGATACAAGTTATTCGTTTATTACAATTATAATTATTATTATATCGTTTATTATCATTCAGTTTTATTTATTCGATCTTATTCGAGTTTATTACAATTATTATAATTATTATTACATCGTTTATTATTATTTGTTATTACAAGTTATAGCTCGTTCCAGATGACAACATAAACAATATAACAGCAAAACAATTACTAACAAACATCAGTGGTTAGCAATCAGTTAGAGCATATAGAATAATATTTATTTTATTACTACATATTAATCTGTACATATTGGGGTTAAACTAACAACTTCAGTTACAGAAAGTAAAACAACACAGTTGCAGAGGAAATAAGGAACCAGAAGGAGATATAAGAAAATGTTTTCATCAGAATGCCAGGTAGATATGGAATTCCAGCATTGGATGATAAAAGACTGCAAACGGAAACCTAATAGTTTGCAAAGCCAACGCGCAAATTGTATACTATGGTGAGGTAGCTTACTCCACAAATCCTAGAGTGTAAAACTATACTTGCAATACATGCAAATAACTGTAATAACTTGGCACAATACAAAACAATCCCTCTCAAAATTCATGAAAATCCATAGTCACCAAAGGTTTCTAAAACTGCCTGTCAAAAAACTAGCCACATGCGTCAGTTAAATTACATTTAATTGCTCTAATTTATTTCCTCGGGTATTTTACCAGAAACCCATTATGGCGCTAGTTTAAAAACAAAACACGCTAAAACGCTAGGGTAGCCAGCTGTTTTTAACGATTTTCCGTACGACAAAAAAAAGAAAAGAAAGTAAAATAGTAAAATAGCAGCTGTGAAATGAAACAGTGGTTGCACTTGTCACCCACCACTCATTATGCCTGCAAACTGGTAGATATACCAAACATGCAAAAAAAACATTCTCAGAGGGCATATAAACGGATCCATTTGCATCGAACGACTTCACACCTAAACAGTTTTCGAAGCCGACTGTCGAAGAAACTGAAGGGAAGATTCATGGCAAACACATTCGTTACAAAAGACAAGGCAACTGGCCAGAGGAAAACACACGATCAGTCAATCCATAACAAAATGAAACTTGACAGGATGAATTACGGCTAAGCGAAGACGAGGAGGAAGATAATGAAACGCGTGGTAACACTACGTTCATTACGATGCTTAAATATTCTCGCACACACGCGCATTTCACGGACGCTGATCCAACTTTAACCCTTCACCTGTTGAGATGCTCTTCTATAATTTATAAACCACTCAAGACACTCATATCGTGTTGCAATTGAGAATGAAGAAGCTAGGTAATAACGCAGCCAATCATAGATACTTGCGTGAGGGGGTACACACCGACACGCATGAGCTCAACCAAGCATCATAATCCTCGCTCGCTCCCGAACTAATCTGCTGCACCTAACCACCGTGAAAACCACCGTAAAGAACTTTTGATGAGGGAATTGTTAGATGGGAGAGTCGCCGTGAACAAACAGGTCGGCAATGAAGGAGTGCATCACCACGGAAACTGGTCGGCACAGGAAGAGGTGCCTCGCCACAGCAACAGGTCGGCAGCAGAGGAATGCGTTGCCGAGGAAACGGGACGGCAGCAGAGGAATGCGTCGCCGAGGAAACGGGACGGCAGCAGAGGAATGCGTCGCCGAGGAAACGGGACGGCAGCAGAGGAATGTGTCGCCATAGAAACGGGTCGGGCGGTGGAAAGGAGCGTCAACTTGGAAACTGTTCGACAGCAGAGGAATGCGTCGCCGAGTGGAAGCAACGGGTCAAAAAAGGATGAGCGCATAATCGCCGAGGAGAGTGTCGCCATGGGAACAGGTTCAGAGTGGAGCTTGTTGCCGTGGTGACAAGATCGGTCAGCGAGGCGTGGACGGAAGCAGGGGAAACCATCGTCAGAGATCACGTTAAACACGAACAGACGTGGCTGCATTTATTCACACTTTACACGCAAAATAATGACGAACGTTCCTCGGCTTTTCAAATCTGCCTTCGACTCCGACGTCGCAAAACGAACGGAGTCGAATGAGATGTTATGACTATTACTAGACGAGGATTTCCCACTCGAATATTCTTCGATTCTGTTTCGATAACGCGATCCCATGATTGAGACCTTCCCAGCGACTTTACATTGGGTCAATTTCATAACCCCACCGTCCACCCACTCGCATCAACGAGCTTTTGTGCAACTATTAATTTCCCGCTGACACATTTAAGGCGCAGCCGGCCGTCAATTATTCAGAGAGCTGTTCGCTTGTTGACTCAGCGTCTCTAGCGACTCGAGCCGCGCTCGCGATGGCGTCCGATTGCCGGCCGCAACGCTTTTACAAGTATCGGCATCAATATTTGAGAAGTCGATGGTGACGGGAAAAACTCGCGCGCGCACACGTGCCTACGCCGAGGCTGCTCAAACGTCCGCTATAAAAATCCACTCACTGAATGGCTGCGATAGCAGAGGAACGGTTGCCCTGCCTGCCACACTGTGCCGTCTCGCTATAACTCAATTCCAACTCTTTCACATGGAGTATTACTCGACGGCTTTTCTAATTCGATTCGCAACGAGGCATCTGCATTGATGCATACGCAAATTTAATATCGCACTCTCTTCGTTATCGGCATCTGCTTTCGGCGGATTCGGAATTAATGATGTGTGTGTGCAGCAGCAGCAGCAGCAGTATCAGCAGCATCAGCAGCAGCAGCAGCAGCAGCAGCAGCAGCAGCATCAGAACAGTGGGATGCTAATGCGTGCGCGTAATAAATGCACGCCTGCTTGTAACGGGGACTCGTCTTTTCGACGACTCTCGGATACATACGCGGCAGTCGAGTGTAGATGTGAATGCTCGCTTCACTGCACGGCACATATCTCTGTTGTAGACTCTGATACGAGTGTGGCACTCGCACTAGCTACACATAATTGCATGCTTGTGTAGGGAAGGTATGTCGTAATGTATATATATATCGTTATAATAAAGCTATCTATTATACACACGAAGCCTTCGACCATCATTCCGTACGTTCTGTGTCGACATAGGAAAACCGCCCCTACACTTGCTGTACGGACAGTCTCACATCGACTGCACACATAATTGCATGCTTGCTGTACGGACACGTCGGACAGTCTGCTGTAGTACAGTCTCGGACATGTACATGATGTTGTAGTAATGCGGTCATTCCCTGCAGGCAGGCAGCAGCAGCTCTAGCATTACGTGATGCTGCAGCAGCAGCAGCAGCAGCAGCATCAGCAGCAGCAGCAGCAGCAGCAGCAGCATCAGTTGTGTGCTGTGCTGTACATGCGGCGAGGGACAACATCCGTCATTGGGTGGGTGGGGGTGCAGGTGGGTGGTAGCGTGGGTGCGCTAGATTCATGGTCAACTGATCTCTGGTAGCCTGCGGCTCGTGCTGAGATGACACAGAATTCCTGACACACTCAGGGCTAACTGCGGCTAACGCCCACCCCGTTTCTTGCCGGTTTATGTTATCCGACCTGAAAGTACTCCTGCTCGTACTAGAGGATGTGATGTGCAAGGCTTGCACGTGTCAGCAAGGGTGGGGATAAATTCCTACTGTTATAGAGCGTGTAGGCTACAAACCAATTTTTCATTGTAAACGAAATTTCAGTGTGTGTTACCCGCAAAAACAAAACTACCAGAATGAATTGCTAGTTCTTATCAAGAGCGTAATAAGTATGTTAAAGGACTAGTGTCGAGCTTTTCAGCTAAAGTAACTAAAATTAATACTTATTATGAATAAATACTTAATACGCTCTTGTTTTTATTTATCTTTCAAGGCCAAATTACTGCACCATACACGTCCTTGTATTTTATCGTTATTATCAAGATATCATATGAGAACTTTTACTACACGCAGACATATGATAGCTCAGGAACATATTTTGCACTGTCAGCTATAGTGGCAGTGCATAAACTTCTCACGTCAAAAAACTCATAACAAATGTTTATCTTTAGCATACTCTGCTAGCATGTGATCTGGTAACCACAAAGTCAGTCTGCGTGCACGATTTTACGCATTTACACTTTGTATACACTACAGACCAAGAACCATTTAAATTCGTAAGCATACATGCGTCATACAGGCGCTTGTTGCTTGTGCTTTTCAGTGGCAGATGAAATCCGTCAAGCATTAAAGATCATACTAACGTAAGATTTACGTACGCATGTACGCATGACGATAAACTAGAACGTTGGCAGAGCTGCCGGTGTGAAAGCGAACACGCACTTCATCCTGAATCATACATGAATCCATACATAACTAATGTATCTAAAGGCGTAGTGCTGTAACATGGTGTGATCATTGGTGAACACAAGACCAATAAACTGTGCCCTACAAATTTTATAATCTCTCGCTATTCTAGGCATATCCTGGGAATATCCTAGGATAGGAAATGTCCTAGGAATATCCTAAGAACATGTTATATATCTTAGATGAGTATCCTAGAATAGCGTCAGATTATTCAAATTTCTATGGCACAAATTACTTGTCTAACTAGGTGTGTGCTGCTACCCCCAGAGGTGAGGTAACAGTCACCTACATGCGCCCTTGAGCTACGCCTGAACACGGTGTTAGTAAAAGTCCATTAACTTTTATGTTCAACATGCCTGATATGACGTATCTACAATAGCCGTGGGCAGCCAATCACTGAAGTACTACCTATTACGCTTGAGGAACACTTTCACATACTAATATATACTGCTAAGATAATTGGAATAGCATATAATGGAGGCGTTTGTTCCAATATACTGGTCGTTATTAATTCATGCAATTATAATTTCATGTTTTAAGCTTCATAATTGCCTTGAGCAATTCCTTTAATCAAACACGTGCACACACTTAGAACCATTACACATATTTCGCCTACGCATAGATCTGTGGTCAATTCATGCTCTTAGGTCGTCGGTTGGTTTTACAGACGTATGAATTGCTCACTTAGTTTTAATGAACACGGGGAGTTCCATCAGCCTGAGAGACTATCACTTTAATGCATGAATAATTTTCTCACCCACTCCAGCAGTTAATTGATGATGCGATAGCAATTAATAATTTTCCTGCAGAGCTTCAAACGAGAGAGTTATCGTCAGATTAACGATCATTGTTCATCTCATTTCCCCAATCTCCTCCATCCCTCACATCCACTTCCTCAGCATCCCCCTCCCCAGCATCTCCTTCCCCACGCCAGATCTCCCTTCCCAGCATTCACCGTTCCGCAGCATCCTGCCTTCCCCCAGCATCTCTTCCCCAGCTATCTCCGTCCCAGCTCTCTTCCTTCCTCAGCATCCTGTCCTTCCCCAGCATCTCCTTCCCCAGCATATACTTCCCGCAGCCTCTCATTCCTTCCCCAGCATCTCTTCCTCCAGCATCTCGCTTCCCCTGCATCCTCCTTCCACAGCATCTCCTTCCCTAGCATTCCCCCCCAGCCTCTCCTTCCCAGCATGCGTCTTCCCCCAGCATCTCCTTCCCCGCATCGTCCCTTCCGCCAGCATCCTCTTTCCGCAGCATCTCCTTCCCCTCAGCCATCACCGTTCCCACCATCACCTTCCCCAGCATTCATCCTTCCTCAGCAATCTCCTCCTCAGAGCATCTCCTCCCCTGCATCTCCTACCCAGATCTCCGCTCTCCAGCATCTGCCTTTCCCAGCATTTCCTTCCGCCCCAGCATCTTCTTCCCACATCTCTTCCCCCGAGCATTCCTGCGCCCCAGCAATCTCTCCCAGCTCTGACTTCCCCAGCATGCTGCTTCCCCGCAGCATCTCGTTCCGCGTGCAGCTCCTTCCCGCCGCATCCACTTTTCCCAGCATCCATGTAAAAATTCGCTCCCATCCACTACCATGACGTACGCAAGCAGATTCTAACAGCCAACTCCCTAACCTAGTCGTATGGAGAACCCCCCCCCCTCTCTAACGGACCAATCTGCTTGTTAAGCTAAGAGAGTCGGCTCCTATATTTGTCAGTGGTCATATCAGATGTGTCCACTTTGCAAGAGCATAAGGGAGTGGTATGCACAGCGACCACTAGTTATCTCCTATGCTAGTCAATATTGAGAGGATATCCCCTAGTTATCCCTTACCTGGTAATGTATACAGTGACCCCTAGTTATCCTTACTGGTAATTGTTACAGCTAACCGCTCAGTTATGCCCTTACCTGGTAATGTATAATCACTGTGGACCCCTGTTTCCTACTGGTCAATGTAATCAGTAACACTCTAGTTATACCTCTTACCTGTAATGTAATCACTGGTCCCGCTAGTTATCCTACCTGGTAATAGCTATATCAGTGCTCGCCTAGCTTAACCTTACCTGGTATGTATACAGTGACCCCTAGTTATCC